GGTAAACCTGCCTGTAGAAATCAAAACAGTAACTCCATCCTACCCCCTGCTTCACATCTGATGCTTAATAAGTGCTCTGCTTGGGTGAACTACAGGAGGAATAGATAGTTGTGTTTTGTTTTTTTTAAATCTGAAATAAGCTTCCTGAATCAACTGCTGATGGTTTTAAGGTTTCACTGAATGCTAATGCCCACTACAGACAGAACGAGTCCTGTGTTGCTGTAGCTAACTGCTAAATCGTGAGCTAACCCTATCTTTGTTTTGGGTGGACCAGACCAGAACCAGAACCCCTAGGGCCAGCTAAGCTAACGGGTCTTTCAGCTCCTCATAATTTAATGCATTCCTGAGTATACATTTTTCACCATAAACTGAATAAAACTTCACTGTTTTGAATGCAGTTAATATCTGTGTGTAAAAGTCTATTTACATTTTATCGGCTGCTATTATAAATGACACTTTCAAATGCATTAAGCCTTAAACCCATGGTCTTTTGCGTTCAGTTTACACATTAAACGATTTATCACTCAGGTTGGATTCACTCTTCTTTCAGTAGCATCCAAATGAATAGAGACACATTTATTTGGTTGGTGATTAATAACGTTGCTAAAAGCCATAGCCTAGATTACTAAATTGATGAAAGACAACTGGATTTTTAAAAGCCGGATTCAGGAGTCTAACCCTTTTAGCAAAGGGGCTAAAACCCTGATCAGTAAGCAAGTTACAGTTGTAATCATTCAACTGATAATAAATAACTAGCTCATCATCTGCCAATCCATCCATCCGTCTGTCCATTTATCTATCCATCATCCGCCCATCCATCCATCATCCAACCTTCCCTTCGTCCCTTCATCCATCCATTCATCATCTGCTCATCCATCCATCCATCATCCAACCTTCCCTTCATCCATCCATCCATCATCTGCTCATCCATCCATCATCTGTCCATCCATCCATCATCTGTCCATCCATCCATCCATCCATCCATCCATCCATCCATCCATCCATCCATCCATCCATCCATCATCNATGTGCTGTGGAGGAACCTGGCCTTGGCTGAAGTTAGAAAGTTTATGTAGCATTGAAATTATCTCATTCATCCAGTGGCACCTCCAGAAATGTTTTGCGGGGGGGGGGGGATTGGGCTAGATGGGGCCACTAAAATCTTGGGGTGGCACACTGAAACTAAAAGCCATAATTGCAGGATTTTCATCTACTATTGTGGTAAACCTGCCTGTAGAAATCATAAAGACTTAAATAAGCACCTGCTCTTATCTTGGTTTATTGTGTGATTTTTCATGTTGCGTCTGACGGCAAAGCAGGGAACTGATCAGCAACAGATGTGGGAACCTCTGGAGAGGTGAGATAAGGTTATTGGCTGAACTGTCCTTAGGTTTAAATGCATATATAATAAAATAAGCCACTAAGCCTCTCAAAGTCTTAAGGGAGGGAAGGGGAGTACATGTGGCCTCTCTGATAAGTCTTAGGAGACTTGTATGGAAACTGAAGCACAGTGATGTGCAGAGAGTCGCTAAGTAAAAGTTTAACCACTTTGGATTTCCAAGGGAGAGACTGTGTTTGTTAATCCACAAACCTAAACAATAAATAAACAATAAAACTCTGTGAAGATTCTCAGTCATTCAGGTCATGGTCAAGCTTAAAAAAAGTTCAGCTTAGGCAGCTTCTGTATGGAGGTAAATGTGTTTTGACAGGTTGAACGGAGACATACCTCTTCTATAGGCCTCCTCCTGTTTGAACCTTGCAGACCCGATCACATGGGAAGTAGTGTAAGGAAGCCTTTGACTTCATACATATGTGAAGACGACGGCTTGAGGTGGGACAGTGGCAGGGGCTTCTCCAATGTTTGTGGTACGTGGGTTAAAGGCTGATTTATACTCCGAGAACAGGTCATCGGCGTGTGTGTTGCAGTTAACACAGATATGCCCCTGCCCCCTCTGCAGACACTCTGCTGCACCTCTTCGAAATGTAGGTGACCGCAGACAGGAGGCCTCTGGTCAAATCTACATCTGCTCTACACTATGCGTATTTCCTGTTTGGTACCTTACCGGCTTGTTTTGTTTGTATGACCACCATTGTGGAAAACGACTTGTGAAGATGCTAAAAGAGGAAGGTGCGCTGAATGCTGGGACCCTTTTCCCACCTGGATCCCCGTTCTTTTTTACCCTCATGTCCCTCCGCTGTCGCACAAACTTGCCCCCACTTCCTCACCACGTCGGCCGTTTCCAGACCCACAGCTAATTCCTGATTGACCCTCTTGCATTGTGTTGTGGAATAACATATCGCAAACCACGCTTCAAATAAAAAATATCTACATCTAACCTGCGACAGGCTAACTGCAACACACTGTTGTGGGAGGATAACCAACCCTTAAGTGGTGTCAGTCAAAGGCTTCCTGACACTACTTCCTGTGTGATTATGTCTGCAAGGCCCAATCAGGAGGGGACTAACAGAAGAGGTTTGCCTCCACCCAACCTGTCACAACACATGTTCCATGTTGCAAGGAGAAAATCAGTCCGAGGGCAGAGACATTTTAGAGAGCGCAGCCATCCTCAAGCTTGACCACTGGATGAAAAATCGTGCTGGCCTTTGTACTATTTTGCCTAAAAGGCTAGGCAACGCACTTCCAGCTGAAGGCTACGCTATGTAGCAACCAAATCCCTCCAGAGAAGTCTGCATTTGCTGGATCGGGTCAGACTGCTTTTTCCTGTGATTCAGAAGGAGCTGAACGCAGTGCTTTTATTCTTCCTGCGATTCACAAGGAACTGAACGCAGTGCTTTTATTCTTTCTGCGATTCAGAAGGAGTTGAACACAGTGTTTTTACTCTTCCTGTGATTCAAAATGAGTAAACGCAGTGTAACCTTAATCCTGCTGCTGTGAGTTATGAAATTAACCCCCTTGCAAATCGCCTCTTATTATTGCATTGGATTGATCCAAATCTCTTTGAGTTGCTGTGGACGAACAGACTGGACTGAAGATGGGCCTGCAGAAGCTGGACTGAGCCGAAGGCCTTCCCTCCACTTAACCAAAACAGTAACTCCATCCTACCCCCTGCTTCACATCTGATGCTTAATAAGTGCTCTGCTTGGGTGAACTACAGGAGGAATAGATAGTTGTGTTT